CTTGTTACTGACGATGCTTTTTTCCTTTCGATAATCATACCAATGAGCTTCCATGTAGTTTTTAAGTTTTCTTTGTTTAAATCAAACTGTGCTCTAAAGTAATTTGTTTTAGCAGCTTCTTTGATTTTATTTAATCTATTGTTATACGTTTTATAATACTTAATGTAGGCACACCTACAGTAATAACAAGTATATCAGACAAAGTGCCCTTAAACTGGGTCCTTTGAAATTGCCCATAAAGGTAAAAGTTGAACCAAGCAATACAGCTATAGCTATAGAACAGCTATAGGTACGTAGTTGAGAGAGTAGTGTATCGTGATCGTCAAGGTCAAACGCCTTCTTAAAGTCCACAAGTAGAAGTCCAAGAGTTTTTTATCCATGTTGGTTAAGATGTTATCAGATAGATCAGTAATAGCAAGCTCGCAAGAGCGATAAGAAGCGCGATCGTACTGCGAGAGAAATTCATAAAACGTAAGGTGTACGTGGCGCTCGAGAATTTTGGAAGGAATGGGAAGAACAGATATAGGACGAAAATTAGATCAGTCAAATAGTGAACCATCTTTATGCAATGGAGAGACTTTTGCAGTTTTCCAGATGTCCAGAAAAGAAGAAGAAGAAATACTGAGGTTGAAAATTGCAGCCATGGATGGGAGAGATAGAAGGAACTGAAAGTTTCAAGAAATAGCTGCTCAGGCCATCTAGTCCGGTATCCTTGTCAATGAATAGCTGCCAAAGGCTTGATTTGACGAATTCCTCCGAGATAGGAGGGACACTCCGCCCATATCACTTATTACATGTCACTCAAGTTTCTTGAGGATGTTGTTGATAAAATTGATATCTGACAATTTGGGTGTCTCAACGGTTCATCTATTTCCCTTTGTCTCACAAAAGCGCAAGACAAACACATATGTTCACTATATTTTCCAGCATTTTCCAAATCTTTTCAATTTTATTTGTAAAAAGATGTATAATATAGGATCCCTGAAAATGTTTACTGGGCTTTAAATATACGTTGGAGGGTAAGCAGATCAGCTTTGAGGGGCCTTTACAAGTTTTATTTTAATAGCAGTATTCTTTTTGATTTCTTGCAGCAACGATCATGTCAGAATATTGGATGTCATGGGCGATCAACATGGACAGGGAAAGTATTGTGGCAAGAAGAGTCATTTTGCTGTTATATCGATACGATCTGCAAAAGTCAGACTGCATTCAGATAGAGCATTTGAAAAGATAGGCTTTAATGCAACGTACTATGTGATTGATAATTATTCTAAAGGTGAGTGTCAAAGATCAAACATATAGCAAGAGAAGGGAACTGATTTTTGTATATTATTTTTACTATAGAAAATCAGCACTTCACTGGTGGTAGTGGTGGTAGTGGTAGTGGTAGTGGTAGTGGTAGTGGTAGTGGTAGTGGTAGTGGTAG